CCAATAAGATGTGAAAATTACAAGAAAGAAATAGTTAAAAGGCCATTTCAGATGTCTAGCCATTGGTGGAAGTGATGTCATTACTAAATGAGGAGCCGAGGAATCTGTATTTTAGCAGCTGTCCAAGTGTTTCTGATTATGAGTGTCTGAGGGCTACCCTTTAAGAAATTACAATAAAATTACACATAGTCCTTAATGTACTAATCTCAGTCTTTTTGTTTTTTGACACCAGCTATTGATGACCAGGAAGCAGTAAATATGTTCAATCAAGGTAACTTTTAAAATTATTCTATAAATATGATTTGCCAGAATATACAGAGTAAGTGGTCAAGTCAGTTGTGCCCTTTGCCAAAGCTGCGTCTATTGAGGTGATACCTTTATTCTTAGTTCACTCACGTGGGATGTTGTTGAGATAAGACACTGCTGATTCCATTGGCGATAGAGTGCTATTCAGGTTTCCCCTGCTTGAGGAAAGAAACCGTAGCAGTGGCATTCCTCCCAATCTGTAACAAGTGTGGCCTCGTGAAAAATTTCTTGGCAGCTTTGGGAAGCTTTTCCTGCCCTGGTCCTATGGTGGCATTTCTGTAGAATTGTAATTTATGTTGGGTAATATCGTTTATATGGCTTCTCCTAACTACCAGAATAGTGTGCTTTGTTGTGGAATTATGTTAATTATAAAGTATACATTTTTTAAAATTATAAAATGTGCTGCCAGTTTTATGTTGATAACCTAAAGGACAAGTCATTACTTTCCACTGTCATTCTGTATACTCTCTGGCTAGGATAGCTGAAATATAATCACTAGAAAATAGCAGTTCTCTGATGATAAAATGTAGTCAGAAAGTAATTTAATATACCTCAATAGCTGGCCTATTTCAGATACTTAAATGATGTTATAAGATAATGCTACTCTATGGGTGTTGTTCAACTTTATTATATATTTAATTCATGCTTCTTCATTTTAGTGAAAATATGCTTAAGTAAATTTCTAGAGGATTTGGTTGGCGATACAACAAAGGAATATATGTTCCATGTATATTCTTTTTAAAAAATATATATTTATTGATTTCAGAGGGAAAGGGAGAGGGAGAGATAGAAACATCAATGATGAGAGAGAATCATTGATCGGCTGCCTCTTGCACGCCCCCTATTGGGGACCGAGCCCACAACCCCAGGCATGTGCCCTTGACCCGAATCAAGCCTGGGACCTTTCAGTCTGCAGGGTGACGCTCTATGCACTGAGCCAAACCAGCTAGGGCTCCATGTATATTCTTTCTTTTAAAAATATATATATTTTATTGATTTTTTTACAGAGAGGAAGGGAGAGGGTTAGAGAGTTAGAAACATCGATGAGAGAGAAACATTGATCAGCTGCCTCCTGCACACTCCCCACCGGGGTTGTGCCCGAAACCAAAGTACATGCCCTTGACCGGAATCAAACCTGGGACCCTTCAGTCCACAGTCCATGTATATTCTTAATAGAAGTCTAGACCTTTTCTATCTGAGAAGTCCATTACAAAAAAAAAAAAAAGCCTTTGGATGGTTGTCATATTGAAACAGTATCACTACCTTAGAGCTGGTCCAGCAATGGAAATTGGTGGTGGTGATTTACCTCTAATTTCTTAGTAATAAACCAGAGGAAGTAAATCATGCAAATGGGAATTGAGAGGAACTGAGTGACTGGCCAACCCCAGCCCACTTCAGCTTTGGCCATTGCGGTGATCATGGGCTCTCTTAAGATTTTTATTTGTTTACTAGAGGCCCAGCGCAAGATTAAATCGTGCATGTGTAGGGTCCCCTAGGCCTAGCCTGCCATCAGGGCCATGTCCACCACCCCCGACACCTCGCATGCTCCACGGATGCTGCTGCCCCTTGCCCTCCACCAGATGCCAGGTTCTCACCTTCCCTGGGCCTGGCGTTCACCCACTTGGAGGATGCCTGTAGGCAGCAGCCCCATTGTGGAACCGCTCTCAGCGCCCTCCCCTTTGGCCATGACCCGCGGGCCACGCCATCTGGTATCGGGATGCCGGGATGTCCTTCTGCTCCACTGGCCTCTGCTCCGTCTGGGCTCGGGTAGTAACCTCTGCCGCCACCACAGTCGCCTGCAAGAGTAAAGCTGGCAGGCCGGTGGCACACTCGAGTGCATACTCCCTTACACTCCCCCTCGCACCTCTCAAAGGTTAACCCCGCCCTGTCGAATCCAGCCAATCTGGGAGCCCTGCTGCCCCACCTCCAGCCAATCTTCTCTCCCACCAGCCTCAAACCGCCCCCCCTACAACTGCCTTCCCAACCACCCTGGAGGCTCTCAGTCTTTTGAGCTGAACCTTCAACTCGGTGAAGGCAGGAAGGGCCACCTGACACACCAGGAAACTGAAGTCCGAGGCTGAGTGTGAGCGCAGCTCCGCTCTGTTCCCTCCCATGGAGCCTGTCCTATCCCTCTGCGCCAAGTGCTCAGGTCCCGCCCCTCCCTGACATCAAGGGCCTATTCTGCTTGCCCGCCTCCCACCGCCCGCCGCCACACCCATGCCCCTGCCGCCCACCGCACCCCGGCCACCCTCAGAGCCCTGGCTCTGCTCCCGCCTCCGCCGCCTCTACTTTGCTCCCTTCTGCAGCACTTGGCTTCCTTCTACGTTGTCTTCAGTCTTCGCTCCCAGCTGGTATATGCAAATTAACCGCCATATTGGTTGGGTTAATTTGCATATAGTCGTTCTGATTGGCTGGTGGGTGTAGCGAAGGTACAGTCAATTAGCATCTTTGTCTTTTATTAGTATAGATTTCATTCTTTTTTAAAATTTTTAATTTTATTTTAATTACAGTTCATATTCAATATTATTTTGTATTAGTTTCAGCTGAACATTTTAAATAAACCTTGTTTGTGTGTGTGTGGTGAGAATGTTTAAGATATACTCTCATCAATCTTCAAGAAATTACTTGAAAAGAAACTTGAAAAGGAATTACTTTAGATCTACAAAATATTCTTGAGAATGACAGGATCTTAAGCTTTCTCACTACACACACATAGGAAAGAGTTAACTATGTGAGGTGATGGATGTGTTATCTTGATCTTCGTTATTCAATAATGCACATGTATATCAATTCATCACATTGTACACTTTAAACATACAATTATATTGATCAGTTATTTCTCAATAAAGTAAGGGGGAAATGTAGTCTCTGATTTGTTCCCTAGTGTGGGTCTGAGAGTCAATATTTCTTTTCTTTTTTCAGCTTTGAGGTATAATTAACAAATAAAGTTGCAAGTTGAAATATAAACTAGACAATGTCAAACTTTGGAAGATTCCCCTATGTAGTTAATTAACACTTCCATCACCTCATATATTTACCCCTCCCCCACCTTTTTTGGTGAAACATTTAAGATCTACTCTCTTAGAACATTTCTATTATGCAATACAGTATTATCAACTGTAATTACTAGGTTTTACATTAGATCCTCGAACTATATTCACCTTATAGCTAAATGTCTGTACCCTTTCACCAAATTTCCTTATTCTTCCCCCCATCCCCCTCAGCCCCTGACAACAACTTTCTATTTTCTGTTTCTATGAGTTTGACTTTGATTTAAGACTAGAGGCCTGGTGCACAAAAATTTGTGCACTCGGGGGTGTCCCTCAGCCCGGCCTGTACCCTCTTGCAATCTGGGACTCCTCGGGGAATGTTCACCTGCTGGCTTAGGCCTGCTCCCTGGGGGAATGGGCCTAAGCTGGCAGTCAGACATCCCTCTGGGAGCCCAGGAGCCCTCAAGGGATGTCCACTTGCCAGCTGGAAGCAGGCCTAAGCTGCAGTCAAACATCCTTAGCGCTGCTGAGGACGCGGGAGAGGCTCCCAGCACTTCTACTGTGCTGGCAGCCGTCAACCTGGCTTGTGGCTGAGCAGAGCTCCCCTGTGGGAGTGCACTGACCACCAGGGGGCAGCTCCTTGCATTGGAGCATCTGCCCCCTGGTGGTCAGTGTGTGTCATAGTGACTAGTCATTCCCAGTCATTCTGTTGTTAGGGTCAATTTGCATATTACCCTTTTATTATGTAGGATAGAGGCATCGTGCTCAGGTGGGGGCTGGCTGGTTTGCCCTGAAGGGTGTCCCGGATCAGGGTGGGGGTCCCGCTGGGGTGCCTGGCCAGCCTGGGTGAGGGACTGAGGGCTGTTCTCAGGCTACTCACAGCCCCTTCAGGGTTGGGGAGTCCCACTGGAATGCCTGGCCGGCCTGGGTGAGGGGCTGATGGCCATTTTCAGGCTGGCCACGCACCCCAACGACCCAAGCTCCCAGACTCTCCTTTTTTTTCTGGGATTTATTTATCTTCTATAATTGAAACTTTGTAGCCTTGAGCGGAGCCCGGGTCCAGCAACCCAGGCTCCCAGCCCCTCTTTGAGTGGAAGCCATGGCTGGCTGGAAGCAGGTATCTGGGATTTATTTATTTTCTATAATTAAAAATTTATAGCCTTGAGTGGAGCTGAGGGCCGGCCAGGGTAGGTGGGAAGCTTGGATTCTTCCATCACCGGGGGCAACCCAAGCCTCCTGCTCACTCCAGCTCCGTGGCCGCCACCATCTTATTTGGGTTAATTTGCATACTGCTTCTGATTGGCTTGTGGATGTGGCTTGTGGGTGTGGCTTGAGCATAGCAGAGGGACAGTTAATTTGAATGTTCTCTTTTATTATATAGGACTAGAGGCCCGGTGCACAAAAATTTGTGCACTCGGGGGGGAGAGGGGGTCCCTCAGCCCAGCCTGTGCCCTCTCACAGTCTGGGACCCCTCGGGAGATAACGACCTGCTGGCTTAAGCCCGCTCCCAGGTGGCAGAGGGCAGGCCCAATCCCTAGGTGCAGCCCCTGGTCGGGCTCAGAGCAGGGCCGATTGGGGAGTTGGGGCGCCGTCCCCTGTCATGCACAGAGCAGGGCAGATTGGGAGGTTGCAATGCCACCCCTAGTCACGCTCAGGGTACAGCCGATTGGGGGGTACCTGGCTTCCTCCATCACTGGAGCAAACAAGCCTCCCTGTTCGCGTCAGCTGCCTGGCTGCCGGCCGCCATCTTGGTTGGCAGTTAATTTGCATATCTCCCTGATTAGCCAATGGGAAGGGTAGCGGAGGTGCGGCTAATTACCATGTTTCCCTTTTATTAGATAGGATTCCATATGTGATACCATGCAGTAGTTTTTCTTGTCTGGCTCATTGCACTTAACATAACACATTCAAGGTTCATTAATATGATTGCAAATGACAGAATGTTTTTCTTTTTAAGGCTAAATATTATACCATTATTCCATTGTGTGTTTGTGTGTGTGTGTGTGTAGCAAGTGCACACGTGCATGCTACATTTTCTTGATCCATTCATCCACGGACAAACACTTAGGTTGTTTCCATACAGCATCAACATTTTTAATAGCTCCCAGGGATACCCATATTGCAGGTCACAGACAATAGTCTGAGTAGTGAGGCTACAAAGAAGATGGAAATTTCCTAGTGAACCCAACAGTGACCTATCATGACCAACCCCAGCTCATGAGGAATTCCAGAGAACTCTGAAGCTGTTCCAGAATTTGAAGCGACACATCAATTAAGTTCAGAAATGTTCTCTAAAATTCAGTTTAGAGGCAACAGTAGTCACATAAGTACCCTAAAAATATAGCATATTGATCATGCTTTTAGAAGGGCTAGCATTTCCTGGGAAAGAATACATAAAAGACAGAATACATAAAAGTCATAAATGATGAACTCTTGCAACGTCTCCCAAAGGTAAATGAATCATGATATTCCCAGAACACTAATGCCCTTTTCTCATTAGAATGCGGGGCCCATCCGAACCTAATATCATTGTCTGAAGAGAGAGTCGTGGGAGGCACAAAGGCTGAGGAAGGAGACTGGCCATGGCAAGTCAGTCTACAGCTGAATGGCGTGCACCACTGTGGCGGCGTCCTGATCAGTAAGACATGGATCCTGACAGCAGCTCACTGCTTCAGAAGGTGAGTCCACAGCTACCTACACATCTGGAACAACTAGGAGAGACATATACATGAGGACTCCACCCATACCCTAAGGACTAAACATGATTAGATTGAGTCAGAAATAATTCAATGCAAAAAAATTGAGTATTTTCTTCCTATTCATGATAGCAAAAATATTTTTTCACCTCCAGCTAGCTAATTTATTCCTGTATTTCAGGTAATTGTATATCACCATGGTAAATAGCAAAGATTTATATGTCAGAATGTTTCATTTAAATCTTAGCTGCAAAAGTTAGGAAATTTATCAAACCTCCACAAGCCTCGTTTTTATTTTTTTATTTTTTCAAATTAGGGCAAATAGGGACATACTGTTATCTATGTCTTAGTTTTATTGGCAGAATTAAATATGCTAATGCAAACATGTTAAATGTTAGCACAATAGTTTGCTGCAAAAAATTGCACATTATATCATGTAAGCTAATCAACAGACTGATGGCTGATCTCAAACTGCCTATGCCATTAACAGTGTTATCTATTTTAAAAACTAATTAAACAAACACTGCCCCTTCCTCAAGGAAGCCTAAGTTCTAACACAAAAGTAATGACCAATTACTTAGAGCAACATAAATAAATTAGTTTAAACAATTTATAGAGAATTCTTTATTGATGTGAATACAGGTTATCCTATATAATAAAAGATAAACATGCAAATTAACCATCCCTCCACTACGCTCAAGCCACACCCACCAGCCATGCCCACCAACCAATGAGGCATGAGTATGCAAATTAACACGACAAAGATGGCAGGTAATTTGCATACACAGAGCAGAGTGGGAGAGCTGGCAGCTTCAGGGGACGTGGCTCCCTCAGTCACTCCCTCGGTCGTTCCCTTGGGGAGACATGGCTCCCTCGGTCACTGGACGGAATGCAGAGCAGGAGAGCCAGTGGCTTGGGGGGACATAGATCCCTCAGTCGGAGAAAACCCAGAGTGTGGGGAGCACCACGAATGCTGGGAATCATAGTTCTGGTGGCAGAAGGATCTCTGGACACTAGAGCAGCGGTTCTCAACCTGTGGGTCGCGACCCCTTTGGCGGTCGAATGACCCTTTCACAGGGGTCGCCTAAGACCATCCTGCATATCAGATATTTACATTAAGATTCATAACAGTAGCAACATTACAGTTATGAAGTAGCAACGAAAATAATTTTATGGTTGAGTCACAACATGAGGAACTGTATTTAAAGGGCCAGAAGGTTGAGAACCACTGCGCTAGAGCAAAGTGAGCCTGGAGCAAATTGCTGTTGCGGTGGGGGATGGAGGGAAAGCAAAGGTGAGAGACATAAGTAAAATCAGAGCATCTAGGAAAACTTAAAGGGAAGATATCCTATAACTCCAGGAAATCTCCACCAGTGAAGCAAAGGGAAAAAATGCCTCTATTATTCTGTGAGCAACAAACCAAACTGGATTGGGGGTCTCAGACATTCGCTCATATGATTGCAAAGACAGACAGAAACTCCCGGATTGGAGAGGGCTCCCCTGAGGCTCCCAGATTGGAGAGGTGCAGGTTGGCTGAGGGAACCCCTTTCCACCTCCTCACCGCTCCCCCAGTGCAAGACTCTTTGTGCGCTGCGCCCTACTTGTGAGCTAAGTAAAAGTAGAAACTACAAAAAAACAGAGACCAATTCTAATGAAATAGACAAGAGGCTCTAATGGGCATA